GCTTTACAAGTAAAGCTTCTTATCCCCTTTATAAAGTGCTTACATGCATGCATGCTTACTATTTCCAAGCCTTTAAAGTCAGTATAGGCAGTTGGATAAAGCCTATTGTAAGTTGGATCATACATGTACGACCCCACTTGATTGATAGGTTTTGTAAGTCAAGTTGATCATTTAACCGTAGCTTTGTATGTCAATTCCACGATCTTGCAATCCAATGAGTACAAATCAATACTTTCGATAACTCTGCTTTGAAAAGTGCTTAAATGCTCTGGCTATATCCCCAGAAAAGTTTGGAGCACAAACAACAGGAGAAAATCCATGCATGTATGAATTTGACAAATTAACATTTGGGTATGAACTTGTGATGTCAGTATTCATGTTTAAATCAAAATATTACAAAATTGGTTAATTTGTTTTGTATTAAAAATTATGAGAAAATGCAAGTTTAGAAAAATCAAACGAAGATTTACACAACTTTATATTACTATTTAAATACATTTGAATACAAAATAACATATTGATCAGTATTATTTGATAAATGCAATCATATTTACATATTTACATTTACATCGCTCAGCGGGTCATCTGCGCGTTTGAATTTGACACAAATTTTGTCAATGAACAGTGAACATGCACAGTATATAGTGCCTTGGAAGAAAATATTAAATAGAGCATGCACAGTTCTGCCCAGGAAAAAGATAGTGAAAGCCACTATATGGAGCTCTGGCAGAGATTGGTTTTTCATAGTGAAATTATTTTCTATCACGTGACCACCAATTGACCAATTTTGTATTTAGAATACTCATGAATATATTCAAAGAAGGGATACAATAAAAGATATGCTCTACTGGCCATCATCATACGATAAAAACTAGGTGTATATCGATATAGGTGTAGGTGTATATTTTTGTTGGAGCCATGAGCAGGGCATTACACTTTGAGGCCCATATTCTACCAAAAAGTTAAACCAGACGCTAGGATTGCACTTTTGTTCATTATTGGATTTCATCAAGGAAGAGCAGTTTTCCTAAGCCTTCCACCAAGACTAAAACTAAGACTAAGACTAAGAGCTAGGATCAGGTTCACCTAAATGAGTAGAATACAATCCATATACCTTAACACAACATTAAAGGCCAAGTCCATTCCAAATATAATTTGCTTTTAATAGATGCAGAAACAGAGCCAAACAAATTTGAGTAAAGTTGATTGGTTTGTCTGATATGCTTCTATTAAAAGAAAGATATTTTTGGAGTGGACTTGTCTCTTAATGCCCTTCTGTCTCTTCACAGATGATTTATAATAATTGGGGACCATTTACTTACCGGCCGTTTTGGTACAAGCTCCGACAAGATTGAGAACGTTGGCGTGGCGACCAACATGACTGAGAACAGACAGCTCTGCTAGCATCTTCTTCTTATCCAGAGGAGTATTACCTGAAAGAGATAGGAAGATAGAGAGAGAGAGAGACAGAGACAGACAGACAGAGAGACAGACAGAGAGAGAGACAGAGAGAGACAGAGAGAGATAGAGAGATAGAGAGAGACGAAGAGGGGGAGAGAGAGAGAGTGAGAGACAGAGAGAGGGAGAGAGAGATAGAAAGAGACAGAGAGAGAGAGAGACAGAGAATGAGAGAGATAGAGAGAGAGATTTTGTACAACGTTTGAGTTATCCTGCATTACACTCAACAACATCCAACAATTTATCTTGCAAGATGAACAAATGACTTGATTGCATGCTCCTGATGACATCTACCAAGGGACCTACAGCTATGTGTCTGTATGTGCCAATTAGTACACTGTACGAGGTACATGTGTATGTGTAATGAAGCTTCTTGCATACAAATTGTGATCAAATTTTCAAAACTTTACAAATCGAACACAGCTAACTTTCCACCAATAAGACCAAGGTATTATATTTGTATTGCGGGGCATGCATTTAGCCATAACATTTTTAACCAAGGAGAATTGATGCCTAGAATAATGCTGAAGTAGTAGTCACAAAAAGGAGATTATGATGACATTTACATGTTGTTGGTGTTGTTGTCTTTGTTAACTTCATCTTACATGAAATACATCATGATACAACCATTGAATGATAGTAGGGACAGCAAAATCACCATTAGTCTATGGCCATATCATGAGAATTTTCATTTTTTGATGAAAAAAAAATCGCTAAAGTCAAATGCCGTCCAGGACATATTTAATATTGACTGTGACAGGGTTTGCTTATTAGCTCCAAATATCCTTTCAGCTTGTTAGTCACATGCATTCCTTAATCCAAGGATATTTGGCAAGCTGTCCTTTCTTTTTTAATCTGTATGTTTTGGGTACCATGTGGGTACCCTATTATAAAAATAACAGCTTTGAATAAACATCTGAAAAATACTGAAAGCTTGAATATCAAAACTGCCTCCTCAATAAATAAAATCACTAATCTTTTGTAGATCGACTCATCAACAGTGAACACACTAATGTACCCTAGCTTGCACTAAATTTAAAAATTATGGAAATAACTCTGAATTAATTTCATTAATGTAAACATTTGTTTTATTGTTATGGCTTTGGATCATAAAATATTATGGTATGGAAACTAATAATAAACATTATTTGGGGTGTGTGTGGTTAACTACTTCTTTTTAAAGAACATTGTAAGCAAATGATTACTGGTAACAACTCAAGAATGCAGAAAAAATATGGCTCATGTCTTTTTCAAATAAAAGATGCTTGAATTAGACAAATGAAAACCAAAAAAAACACACTGGTATTACTCATCTACCATCACACACCCAAAAATGTCGGCATATTTCTCACTTCATCAAATGTTTTGTCAACGATTGTTCCTTTGAAGCTACCCACACTGCTTGTAATTGTACAAAGAAAAGATTCAATCAGGCAGCATGCTTGAAAAATATCTCCAGAAATATTTTTCACAATTTCCTGTTTTTGAAGGGTTCTAAAGAGCATTTATGTTTGTAATATGATCTATTCAGAGCCAGACGAATGTTAACTCTATGTTGAATTATGTTAGTAAGCACCCTTCTGGCTCTTAACAGATAATGTAACCAGGGGGGTGTTTCACAAAGATTCTAAGTCAAACTTAACTCTAAGTTGGACTTAAATATTATGGAGAGTCATTTGTAGCCTTAAAATAAAATATATTCAAAAGCGAAAATTCAAATATTTTAGACTTTTTATAAATTCCACATCAAGAACATAAATCTCCCATGATAATAAGAAATATGAAAGATTTGAATCAACATTGTATGCCTTTTTAAACAACTTTTACAAAATATTTTCAAAGATGCTAATGGCTTGCCATAATTGTTAAGTCTTACTTAGAGATAAGTTCAACTTAGGATCTTTGTGAAACACCACCCAGAAATAGTTAATTGTTAAAATTACTACAATCAAACTTAATGTTAGTGGCAGTGTCACCTATTTTTGTTTGTGATTTCACAGTTTCAAAGATTTCTATTTTCTATTTTCAACTTCTATGTTAGACCATTTTATGTCCTTCATTTTTCTAAATCAAGCATATTTTATTTAAAGAAGAAATTAGGCATGTTTGTTCTGCATTCTTGAGTCAAGGTAAAAGATTATAACAAAAGGGCACCTCCAAGTCGAATGAAGCCAAAGATATTCCTTTATGCTTTATTATGTTTTACCCCTCTGCCATTTCTGCCTGACAATAGTATGGATTTAAAATTTAAAAAGTCAGAACGGTTGCCAATACAATACTGAAAATATCTTGATCTTACATCCTGTTATCTGTTAATGCCTAGGATTTCTGCGTAAATGCAATTACATTTTATTTAGCTCCAGAGCCTGAATACCGATTAGTCTTTACATAGAGCACATATTTTTCTTTAGTACAATCGTCACATTCCGGTGAGCAGGAATCCTTTGTAAAAAGCGACAAAGATTTGCTCTCTGAAATGCTTTGCAAAAGAAAAACTCAAATTCGTATCCTTATTCGGTGTCTTTGAAATGAGGAAATTACAACTAAATATACAAGATTCACATAAATGGGACACAAGTGCAGTTTCCTAATGAACAGTTTGATTGCACAAAATGATGCAATCAAAAATGGAACTTTTGAATAGCATACATTGAATTCATTTACAACTGATAGAATGCAAGAATATATGACAGCAACAGAAGTATGGCATTCCTTTGAAACAACTCTACAAGCTTAAAACATGTACACTGTACTTATTACAAATAAAATAGATATCTTAAAGGCCCACTGCACTACTTGTAGCTACTTGCGCCCTCTATGTAACAAAGAATGCCTAATCGGTGACCATTGGTCCCCCATGATCCTCTTTTTCTTATGTTAACTGAGAGCTGAGTTGATGAGATAACCACTTGTCCAGTGACCTTGCAGGACGCTCTAATCCCTCTTGTAAACTACGGCAGATAAGCTTTAATCTTACCAACAAAAATATTTATTTATGTCCTTATTTAAAAATATAAGCTTTTTCTAGGTTTAAGGTTTTCTAGTTTGCACTCTAACATTATTAAATAATTTCACAACTATGTCAAATATATACAATAGTTAAGTGCATACAAGTCAGGTAATGCACTAGTTCTTGTTTTGTACAAATATTATGCAATTTATTGGAAGCATATTATTTGCTATACTTTAGTGTTTAATCTTATCATTGAAGAGAAACAGAATGTCACTCATTTGGAAAATAAAGGCATGAATTTTGTTTTGAAAATATAATGATTTGCTCACCTCTTTGTTTCTTCACATCACTAGCCAGGCTTTGATTTCCGATTAGAACCTTTCCAAAGTAAATCTCTCCAAATCGTCCATACTGTTTCCTATTGCCGACAACCAGTCTATCTCTGGGGATCTCCCAGAAAGCGGTGCTTGGTCTTCCACTCCTATCAGATCCTAGAGCCATGGCAGAGACTGACGGAGGGGAAGGTGGTCCACCCTGGATCTCAAAGTCATAGGCCACATTATCCTGCGAACGAGATTTAGTATTAGAGTAAGACGGGGGTAACTTGTGCTTGGACTTGCGCCCAAAGACTTTCGAGAGGGACCCGCTCTTCATGGGTAAGCGTCGGAAAATATTGAGGCTCTGCAGAGAGGAACTGCGCTTCATGGTGCCGTTGCCATTGCCGTTGCCGTTCATCGTAGGATGGGTTCCATTGCTGGTTCCGTTACTGGGCAAAGCAGAGTCATCAACGCTCATCTGCACATCGAATGACTGGCGCCAGACCCCATTTTGTTTCTTGGAGGATCGGCGAGACATGGTGTTGAGCTCACCTTTTGTCACACTCCAGACTCTTGAGCTGAGTTACACACCTTCAAAACTTTCGGGAAGTGTACACACTTAACCTTCTTAATTTAAAACATCCATGAGCGTGAGAACTGACGATTAAAAGTGCACCCTGATCAACCTGGAACCACACTCGATCTAACCGATTGTCAACAAACAGTAGCAACAACTTCCTATTTTCTTCAGGATGATGTTATATGACTTCACTCTGCTCATAAATCAAACTTTCCATTAACACCAATCCGTGTTTAATACCTGCCATCAAGTTTATATCACACACCCATGCTAAATACACCCCGCAAAATGGCCTGAGTTCCGTAAACCTGTCATTCGGAGAGAGATTTTGCACCCTAATAACAACAGAGTTGTCGTTGTATGGAGGAGAAAAGCTGTAGCCTGAAGCAGTTACCGTAGTGGATATTAGACGAGATCGTCATGGATAAGTGAACATCGCTTCTGCAGCGTACTGTGCTGAGTTAATTTACATACGCCTCTGCTACCCCTCTCTCCCTCAGTCTCTCTCTCTCTCTCTCTCTCTCTCTCTCTTTCTCTAGCTCCCTTTCTCCAGCTTCTTTTCTCTCTCTCTCTCTGCATGATCTCTCCTGAAGGCAGCAATTGTTCTTAAACAATAGAGGCTCTAGCTGAGACACAGTTTGCACTGGAGGAATGGCAGGCCGGGAAAAAGTCAACACAGAAGGCAGACATTATGACGTCATAATCTTGCCGTAGATGCTTTGTGGGCTACAAATGTTATAATATTAAGACAGTTAAAGGCTGATCGAAACACCGATTAGCGGTTTTAAGGATTCTTTTAAGGATTCTTTGGACAATATCAGACATTATTATCAGATCACATGAAGTAGATCATCAAGTATACATGTGTATGTACCTGGACAGACTATCACAGCTATATGTCATAGAAATTTGGAGTACCGGTAATGATTTTATCACTTAAGTCTTTATCTGAAGATCGAAAGCCAAAAGGGAGTGAATAGGAGTTAACACCCTTTTGGCTTTGAGCAATCAGTAACTATAATTATTTTCAAAGTCTTCTCACTTATAAATGTATGTATTTTAGAAAGAGCTGGTAGTAACAAAACAAACAAAAAATCTAATTTTATTTACAAAACTTGTACAATACAAAGATTCAGGTCAAATTAAAGATAAGGAAAGCGAACAGACATCTTAATTTTTTTTTAATTGCGTGTTCATGCTTCAGAATTTCACCTTTTTGTGATGTAAAATCATTGCCTCTGAATTTGCAATACTTTATAAAATGTTCTACACACATTAAAAAGTGATGCTTTCCTTAGTAAATACATGTTATACAGTAGATACTTACAGTCATCTGCATCATTAAACTATGAATTAACTCCGTTCGTAACAATTAAAACAAGTCTCAAATATGGATCTGAAATACACATTAGTTGTACAAAGGTTTCCTTGTAATCTCTTCATAATCATTTGAGCACATTTAAATTGAAGTGCCATTAATTGCTGGGTGGCATATTATACAGAATACACATGCATCATACCCTTTAACAAGTGAGGCATTGAAAGTGGTCTATTCACACGGCAGATTAAGTTGGGATTAGAGATTTCTATTAATGCATACCGGCCTCAAGGACCTAGAGATAAAGCTCCTTTTCTGTAACACCCACTTGACTACAAGCGAGTACATGATTGTTCCGTTTGAGCACCTTTGAAGACCTTGGCAAGTTTTTTTCTCTCGGATGTGCCGAGATATATGTGTGTATGTGGAGAAATATGAGAGAATAACTGTAGAAATATTGATTGTCATCATCATGTAAAATGTAACTAAAAAGGGCATGACAATTGTTTACACAGGGAAAAATGCAAATAATAATACGAGTAACTTCATTATAATCGAAATCGTTTGTAGTTTTTCATTTTCTGTGCTAATGCATTTGTGCAATTGTCATGAAATTTCATGGATTAAAAAATAAGAAACCTTACTATTAAAGGAATAACGACAAACAAGCTGATAAAGAGTCATGAATGTGAATGAGTTAGGTTTAGAGCAAAACTCCTTTCTCAAGTTAAGACATGTAACATATTCCTTGTGGAGTTACCCAACTGTTTAAAGGTAAAGACCAGTTTGGGAAACGCCCCCCCTCTCAAAAAACAAAATGGAAGCTCTTATTACCAATCATGTAAAATAATGTAATAAATGCATCAGACAAAAAGTAGGAATCCTCTTCCGCTTACGGCATTTTGTGCCTAGAAATATCCTAGTGTTGTTGTATAAAACCTTTATTCAACCTCATATATCATACGGAATTGAAGTGTGGGGGAGCACTTACAAGTCTCACTTAAATTGCATACTGTATACACAGAAGATGGCCATACGGACAATCACATTTAGCCATTTTATGAGTCGTTCAGCACCATTGTTTTACGAATTGAAAATCTTAGATATTAACAAGTTCTATGAGTTGTCTCTATGTACATTTATGTATGACCTAGTACATAATAATTTACCTCACTGTTTGACGGATTATTGTGATAAAATTGAGCATAGATACAATACAAGAAAAAGAGAAAAGGGCCATCTACGTATACCACTGTATAAAACAACACAAGGCAAATTTTCAGTAACTTGTGTAGGAACCCGATTATGGAATGAACTTCCCGATGAAATCAAAAACAAAGGGTCTAGAAACACTTTTCGTAAACATCTCAACGATTACTTGATGAATAAGTGATTGAATTATGCAAGTACACATGTATATATTGTAAATAATCTCCATATTACATTTTTGTTGTTTTTTTTTTTGTCAAAAAAATGCAATTTTTTGTATAAATAATCTGTAGATACATGTATCTATGACTTTTTAACCTGGTATATCCTCTTCATAATTATATTTGGAGTGTAGAAATTGTGCTACGGTATTACTCAACATGTATACTTCTACTGTCAAGTTTTATTTTTTGATAATGATATATTTATTTTTGCCAAGTGTGTGCTAAGAACAGGGGCCAGACTCGACTAGCACATGTGCTATTATTTGGCTCCTTTTCATCACCTTCTATATTCTATGAGAAAAGACATATGTCTAGCATATCAATACTTTGTTAGGTTTTTCTTTAATATGATCTATAATATTCATTTATGAACATGTACCATTCACGATGTATTCAAATGTTTAATCACTGATGTTATTGATGATGAATAAATAAAATAAAATCAAATCAAATCAAAATGTGAAAGAATGTTTTGACTATTAATACGTGATCATACAAATTTTGCCGAGAAACCGCCAGCTAATTGATATTTGGTAAATTATTACATCTATTTGGACCTCATAGATATAACACACATGTCGCGCACGTGTCGCAAAGTCCCATATACACTTTTCTGTGTACAGTGCTTGTAACTTTAATTACCAAGACTTGGCCAAATTTCTTATCATTTTGATGATTCCAGAACCTTTCAATACACACAAATACTTATATGCTAGATGATCAACCTTTTCTGATCGATTCCACATCGTTTCTATCACAATGCAATCGCATGACCATAACTCAACTTTATCTTTAAACTGCTGCAGTGCTTAAAATCTACTTCCTAAAATGCTATTTTGAGTACATTCTTGGGCAGAGATGTGCTTGATCTGCATCAGCTGTCCTTGAACCAGTGAATCCGTTATTATGAATCCAAACCTCTCAATATGATCAACAAACATATCCCGCTGGCTTTTGCTTTTGAATTACTCGCTTATTATACCAGTGAGCTGATTCATAAACATTCCATATGCCTATATATAGAAATATATGGAAATCTGAATTGAATTTGAGAGATGCAGCGTTGTTGTTAACTTGTTAACATGGAGTTGCTTAGAACTATAGTTCTTTACTAATTTCAAAAGTGAGAAAAACAGAAAGAGAAGATTTAACTATAAGGAGATTTAAACAAAAATCTGAACTGAAAGAATAGAAAAATCCAAGTGAGAGGAGAATTGTTTTATCGATGTCAGCAGTGGGATATGTTTCACTGCATCTCTAGATAATGCATCCATGTCCAATCAAACTTGACAACATAATAAATTCCGCTTGTAGTTTTCACACAAATATTCAGGATAATTAAGGTCATTTACTTCTCTGAGCATTGTCTCTCTTTAGGGATACCGGTCAACCGAGATAGCCTAGCCCTATATTAAATCAATAGTACCTTCACTGAACTGGGGCTTTAAAAAAATTCAAATGGGGTTGTGTTTCGCAGCTCTCAGAGCAAGTCATGCCACACAGACTATCATAAAGAGGACAGTCCCACACAGAAGTTTATCAGCAATCATCTGTGACATGCTTCCAACGCTAAATTCCTTTCTTTTTGTCAAAAGAGGTGCAGGGGATACTCACCAAATAGTTTTAATACTGTTTATCATCGAGATCTCACAGGTCATTGGTTTAATTGTGAGTTGAATTTAATGGCATTTACAGGGTCGTACATTTGGAATGAATGCCATAATCTTTTCTAATGCTTCATTTATATAGGAGTCTATAATGAAATGGACCTTCAATTTGAATAGAATCAGCTACATAAAACTTAACAATGATTGATTTATGATTATTTACTACCTGTAAACATGATTCTCTTCTCACGCCTGTTGAACATGCTCTCATAAACAAGGCAATAATGATCCATTTCTAGGTATATTGCA